CTGAACAAAACTGGCTTTGAAAAACATACGGGCGTATGTAAAATGCTCCGATCTCTCTTGCTGAGAGAGGTATCGAAAGTTGGCCACAAACTTTTTAGGACAGAGTTGATTTTGGAATTCATTTTCAGAAACTAGAGTTGGTTCTAATACATACGAGATGAAGAACAAATTTTAAATGTTTCATAAAAATACTATTTACAATTTGTTCGCGTTAAGCACAAGGTTTTCAGCAAACTGAATGTATCTTGCCCACAGAAAAGCAAGGGGGGATGGGATGTTTTTGCCAAATTATTAGCCAGCAGATAAGAATGCACCTCTCAGATTTCAGTTATTTTATAGTTGAAAAGAATACATGCAAAATTACCTGCTTAAAAAGATTGTAAAATTCCCTTCTGATGTCTCTTTCTCTCTCCAGTGCAGAGCCCACATGTGCAGCACGACAAAGAGCGGCCTTCTGAACATGTCAGATTAAGAAAAAAAAAAAAACACCCAGCAGAGTGGCGCAGCGGAAGCGTGCTGGGCCCATAACCCAGAGGTCGATGGATCGAAACCATCCTCTGCTAGTTGGCATTTTTATTACTTGTAGCCCTGGAAATAATTAATGCAGCCTTTATTTTATCCACATAGAAAAGAGGAACCAATTCTCTTGCTATTGCCTCTTTCACAGCGATTAAACAAAGGGATAAAGCCCCAGACAGATGTGCTAGGACTCCCATCACATACAACCACAGGCGTGGAAGAGACCTCAAGAGGAAAAGGGCAGCCAGTGGCAGGGCCAACGAGAGGGGGGGAAGCCGGTACAAATTACTGGGGTCCGGCGGTCCGGAAGGGGGCCTGGGGCCTGGCTTTGTCGGCTCTGTTTAGCCGGTCCGCCCTTGCTGGGGGGCCCGAAAAAATTTTTTCACCGGTCTCGGCGGCCCTAGCCAGTGGGCCCACCCCCCAGCACCTCCAGTCCACTGGTGGACCCCCTGATCAACTCCTCCCCCTCCCTCCCAGTGCCTCCCACCCACTGCAATG